TGCTCGGCACCCCGTGGCTGCGGGCAGAAAGCGGTACAGGCCTCGGGGGAGCCCCCGGCAGGCTCGCGCCCAGGCCGACCGTCTGGTCAGGCGCTGTCAGGTTAGGGGGTGAACCGAGCGGCTGGCAAAGCTGGGCTCGGTTCCGTCCGAAATAAATCCGAAATTAATGGAGAGTGCAGATCTATCTGCAGCTATCGGCTGGAGCAGGGCTGAGGGCAGCAGGATGTAAGGATGATGTGAGCCCCGGAGGTACAGTCATCACAGCGCAGCGGGCAGCAGAGGGGCTGGAAGCTTTCTCAGCCCCTGCCAAGGGAGTGTGGTGAGGGACCCGGCCACTAAGCCCGCGCAGCTGTTGTAGGCCAGGCGTGCTGGCTTTCCTCTCTGCTCGTGGGAGTGGGGAAATGAGAAATGCTAGCGAAGGGTGAAGCAGGAGGGATCAGGAGGAGCATGGGCAGCTAGCTGGGTGTGTTGAGTAGCGTGGCAGAGAGACGTTTAATCCTAAACGTAGCATAATCGGAGCATTACTAGAAACATGACTAATGCAATGGTTACTGTAAAAGTGGTAGTTAACTGGATCCCGTTGTCACTTTTTCCATTAGCTGTATTGGTACTTTTCTGTTAGTTTGTAATTTAGAACATCACGTTCTATGGAAGAAAAGGATTCCGAATCAAAAACTTGTGCATTGTAGAGCAATAATATTGCCTGTGCTCCCACAGGGTACCTGGATTCTAGAAATCTGTCTGCCTCGACCACAGAGTCTGGTTTGTACAAATTTGTGGTGAAACTTGTTTCTTTAAATCACTTTTGGCAACTGACTTTGCCATGGAGTGTTTTGATATGTGTAAAGTCCGTTTTTCCAAGGAAGAATTTACAAGTTTTTTTCAGAACAGCTCTGCCACGTGAGGGTGAGTAAATAATAAACTGGCTCAGATTAAAGGTTCATGTAATCCAGTATCCTGGTTCAACTGTGATGAATAATGAGTGTCGAGGGAATAGTACAAAGCAGAACAGTTGCTTGTAGCATCTAAACATTCAACGTCAGTATCATACCTTAACAGGACGTTTCTTTGTGGGGGTAACAGAAATGTCCTTTTTTTTTTTTTTTTTTAATCCTGTGTTCTTCCAATATATGATCAGCTTTTCAGTTTGTAACTATTCTATATTATTAATTGATAGTTAACTTTCTTGACTAACTTGACAATAAACTGTTATATAGCACCACTTTTTTAACAGTGTCATCTTCTCTGACTGTCCTTTATTATTTGTACCTTGTATGAGTGTCTCATTGATCCTTGGTGTTCCCCAAGAGTGGTGTCACTTCCTACAACATTTTTGATCTTTTCTTAGGTCAGTACCCTAATTTCACTATCTAGCTTACCCCACTTTATTTCTTAAAGTTCTCACATTTGCTTAGAAGCACATTTACATTTGGCTTGTTATTTTTATCTTCCTGTGTCATACATGAGTGAGAGTCTTTGATTATTCTTATGTAAACTTAGCCAAATTATCTTGTTAAAGGATATTAGTTACTTCAGTAGATACTTTAGTGCAGGAGAGATAGGAGAACTGCTTTGTACCTGTAGACACGTAGAAAATGTTAGATTCCTCATGTACAGTGCAACTACTCTCATAGCTGAATACATCTGTTTCCAAGATTGGGGTTGAAGACTGAAGGAAATTTTGTCTGCAATATCTAAATTGAACTAAGTGAAGTATTTCTCTTTTATGTCACACATTGGGGAAAGCTGGGTATGTTAATAGGTGGGTGCATTATTACTATGAAATACTTGAAATTGTAGGGGATGCTGGATGGTTGCAGTGGTAAACTCGTGTATACGTATTGACTGTGAGCTACTTGTTATTGCACAATAAAAGCAATGACTTAGGCAAGAAGTATGCGATCTTGTTTCTTTTCACATCTCCCTTTCTTGCCCTTGTCTTTATGACCACAGACAGTGTTACCTTTTATCTTGGTCTTTTAATAAAGATAAGCTTGATAACCTCATACTGACAGGAATTACCAAACAGCTCTGTCTTCAGAAGCAGTTGGACCTAAAGATCACACTGGGCTTTAAGCCACAAGAAATGTTAAATGTCAAGGGAAAAATGACTTGTCTTTCATTCATACAGTCATCATAAAACGCGAGTTGAATAGATTTACTTCCATATTGTAAATTGTGATAAAATCCACCTCTAAATTTTATGAGTTAGGCTTTCTCAGAGCTTTTTATCAGCCAATATCAGCAATGGCAAATAGGTATCGCCTCATTTTATAGGATGTGAAATACAGAAATGTCAACAAAATTGCAGGGGGGCTGTCAGCAATGGTATGTGCTGTAGTCACGATACTGCACTGGGCCTGGAGAGTATGTGTGGGCACTGGGTGAATGAATTCTTGCATTCCTGTAGCGTGTGGATGTTTGCTTAATGTTGGGATGGACCGGGCTGTAAGAAGTGGCCGGATGTCCAAGGTACATTTGGCAAAGAGGTACCGAAGTTGTTCATTGCAGCACTAAGGAATATACCTGTTTCTGCCTTGATGCTTTTTCATAATGTGATTAAAATATTAAACTGCTCTAGATGGGGGCTGAAAAGGAAATGCTTACATGGTTTTCAGAGATTATGTGGCAGTAAATAAGCTTGGATCTCAGGCCCTGTACGATGGAGCTGTGGAAATGAGAGTATGCACAGCAAAAATCAATAATCATGAGGATATAAGAACACAAGCAGTGCCTCTAATGCAATTAGCAGTGGTGATTGCTAATTCTTGTGATACATCATTCAAAAGGGCCCTTAAAAAAAACCCTCAGCTGTCCAGAGTTGTCCTTTGATGTGCACAAAAAAGCAGACTCCTTCACCTTGACCATCAGTTCTGCCAAGTGCCCATTTTGGGAGCGGCTTCAGAATTTGCCCTTTCGAAAGGGGAGCAAAAAATTTGCCCATTTGATAAACCAGCAAGAAGACTCTCTTGTGTTATCCTTTCTTGGCTGCATCTTTCATTCTCTTCGTCCAGTCAGGGGCTGTGCTGAAAAAATAGCATGGGCCTGAAAAAGAGGAGGGAGAAGAAGTTTTGTTCATTTTTCTCCTGTACGTGACCATTGTGACTTCTGCCATTTTAGCTCTCTAAAGCAATGTATGTCTAATGGATGTGAAAAAGAGGTAATCGTTAAGCGCAGGCACGCTTTTAAGTAGCACATCTTGTGGTTTGCAAACGTTCATAGTTAAAATGTAGCAGCAAGTGCAAGCTGAAGCTACCCAAGGGCAAGAACAGGCGGGTTGGGGAGCCTGCGTTTCCAGCAGTTAGGTGTGCAACCCTTCATTTGCCTACGCTTTCCTCAGCGGGACTACGGGTGAGTGAGCCAGACCCCAGCGCTCTCTCTGCAAGTTGTTGCAGGTTCAACCGCAGGTTTAACCTCAAACTTTCGGGACGTCACCGGGGAAAACGACATGCTTGCTCCTCTCGAGCGGAGATGTGAACTTCTTGGTGGGGCAGGAGGGAGAGCAGCGAGGTGCACGTTTGGATCTGCTGCATCCTTACCCTTGGGTGGGGGGTGCAGGGGGGCAGTCACACCTTTTCTGCACCGTGGTCAGGCCGCTGCGGGCTGTTCTCGTTGCTTCAGCGGTCCTCTGCTAGAGAAAACCGCCATTAATAAGCACAAACAAGGGGCAGGACCTTCCCTCTCACCCCTCCGGGGCGGGGAGAGCCCCCTGCTAGGAGGGAGCCTGAAAACGAGCCGGACTCTTGCCCGGCGGCCGCGGTGGGGGTGGGGGGGGTCCCGTCTCCGCGGAGGCGGGCCCGGGATCGGGATGCCGCCGGGAGGGAGGATCCGGGCGCTGCTCTCCTCCTCCCGCCGTGGCGGCGGGGCC